ACTGGTCAGATGCTAGAATCAAGGTTTCTGAACTCAGATTTACCTCTTTGAGAGTGCATAATGCTGTTTGTTGTTTAAAACAGAAAAAGTCCAAACAAGAAAGGGTGAGGGTCTAAGGCAGAGAAGAGGGATAGATATTTAAGAAGCATAATTAGGAAGGCTTGGTGATTGGCCATTGTGCAAGATGATATAACAAGAAAGAGAAATCAAGAATTCCAGGGGCCGGCCGGGTGGTGCAGTTAGTTAGACCGCGAGCTCTGAGCAACAGGGCCGCCAGTGTTCTTAACAACAAAGTTGCCGGTTCGACTCCTGCATGGTACAGTGGGCTGTCTCCTCTCCCCCCAACTAAACTGAAAGCGGCAGCTGGACTTGAAGCTGAGCTTGCGCCCTCCACAACTAAGATTGACGGACAACTTGACTTGGAACTGATGGGTCCTGGAAAAACACAATATTCCCCTTCCCCAATTCCCCAACACTGTTCCCTTCCCCAATTCCCCAATAAAATCTTAAGAAAAAATGAATTCCAGAACCATTATAAAAGCTAGTATTCACAAGGATTTACAAATATACAGAAAAGGAAAACAGACCTGAATGTCCTGTGATGCCCTTTTATTGGTTACTGCTCTTTATTCTTTCCCAGACCTACGCTAACCAAAGTCAAAATTTAAGTATACATGATCTCTTGTTATGTGTTTTTTTAAAAAAAAACAAAATACCATTACAATGACAACTAGGTCCTATGAAAACCATTAAGACTGGGACAGAAACACCAACATGAAGGTAAAAATTCAAAATGGATTACCACAAAGAAGGTGCGGCATGCTTCTTCCTGTTTTCCTTTGGGGGAGGGGCAGATTTTAAAATTAGTAATGTCCTACTAATTAATACAAATGTTTGTTCTCAGTGTATAAGGCATTGAGCAAAAAAAGTCTTACTAAATAGACTGTAGAAATTGATATACAGGAATAAAATCTAGTTAGCAACATGTACATAGATATTTTTAAAATCTGGCAACTTTTTAAAACGTCACAATATAGAATCTTCTGGCTTTTCTACTTTGAAAAACAAAACCCCTGAAAACTCTTCTGAAAAATTTTCTCCCTTTCCAATTTTTGTTACATTCTTGTGCCCCCACTTAGTCTTCACAATTTTATATGAAATACTCTACTGAGTTATTTCTAGGTGATTGATTGGTTACATAAAGGCATTTTGGCTCATTTCCTTTGTTCCATCTTCTACTTACATGGAATGGTTCTCAAGTAGAGATTATCTCTGATCACTTGCTGCAGTTTGTGGTCAATTGATCCTTTCTGAAACTGAAGACTCAGGTAATGTCGCAAATCTTTATTAATGACTTTACCTACAAAAGAAAACCACAAGACATAACAACCATTAGCTCTCCAGTTAACTATAGATGCTAGTGATTGAATACTTTCAAAACATTTAGCTATAAACAAGAAGAAATAAGAATATTTCACTAAAAACAAGATAACTAACACCAAATTATGAAAGGCACTACCATTAAAACATATACTTGTATAAATATAATGCGGGCATATTCTTACACGGTAAGGAGGGAAACAGTATAAGGAAGAGAAGATTATGAAAAGCAAGGTAATTTCATTCAGTCCCATGGCTTTAAATAATGTCTATATACTGATAACTTTCAAATTATTATCACGTCTCTATTCATCACCTATCTCCACCACGCTCCAAACACATCAGACTGGTTCATATGAGTATATATTACAGATATATTTGCAAGTCAAATAAGTACCTCAAATTTCAGCTAGCCAAAACACAACTCTTAATTCCACCCTCCCCCAGTGTATTCCTTTCCTCTAGTTTCCCTTAGACAATAACAGCACCAACAAAGTGGAACAGACTCCAAAGCTAGAAGTCATCCTTGATTTCTCCTGTTCACGTCTATCCCCCAGATCCAATCCATTAGCAACTTTTATCAATTCTGCCTCCAAAACATCTCCCATACTGTCCACATCTCTCTACTTCCATTGCCATCACTCTAATCTAAGCCACCATCACTTCTCATCTGGAATTCTACAATAATAGCCTTATGATTGGCCTCCCTGCATCCATTCTTGCCTCCCTCCTGCTGCCACCATGCACACAGAAGCCAGTGAGATTTAAAACATCAATTAGATAACCACGACTGTTCAGAGCCACCCAAGACTTGCTGCACTCGGAGTAAAATCCAAATTTCTAACCAGAGCCTAGAAGGCCCTACTTGTTGTAGCTCTGGCCAGCTCTGACCCAAACTTGTTCACTCTTCCCCCTCTCAGATATGTTCCCCCCACACTGGCCATCTTTCTGACCTTCGAAAATATGAAACGGGCCCTTCTCGGTGCCCTCTGTCTATCACTAAATTCAACAGGCATTTTCTGTCCACTTGCTTGACTCCTAGATAATGTTAATAAATAAGAGTGAAAGATATTTTTCTTATTTGTGGGAGAAATGGGAGAGAAAAAGAGAAATGTTAGGGGCTCTCAAAGAAATAGCAAGCAGGAAAATACAAGATTGCAAAAAGCTGGTAGCAGTGAAATCTGTAATAAGGGTTGAACTTGAAATTGAAATCAAAGCAATGCAAACACTGGTCAGTAGACAAGGCTTCAGATAATTAGAAAAGAGCAATGCTAAGACAAAATGGATGATCTTGTTGAAGAAACAACTAATTGATTAAAATATTCTCTTTGTTTTATTTGAAACAGCAGAGTTCTGACAAGGTTAGATAAATTGAAAGGTTACTGCAGATCATTTCATTATTTCAACTATGATTCCATAACATAACATTTCTAATCCCTTCTTTTGGTCTTTTCTCGCATGTATAAATAAATATAACCAATATGAGAGGGTGTTATATAAGCAGGAAATCAGGGTGCTTCTATCGTTAGAGATAATATTCAGATTCAGAACGCATACACAGAAAACAAAAAGTCCCTACTTTGCTTTGCCAAAAACAGATGCCGAGGGAGAGGGGAACCTTTATGACCAACGAAGAAAATCCGAAAGAGGTTTGCAGGGTGAGCACAGAAGAGTCCCTGGTTCTACAAGTTGCTTCTGCCAGGTATTTAGGGGCCCCACCAACTGCAGTCCAATCTAACCGGAATCCCATTATCTCATTTTTTAATTTATATGACAGTACTTGTTCATTGCTGGCTAGAAGAAAGCCCTAATTCATAATCGATACTGCACAGTAATTGAACAAAAACATACC